AACGGGAGGGTGTATGTGTGGTGAAATGGCTCCCTGTCCCAGCCACGAAAATGCCGGCAATTTTAAAATTACCCGCAGACATTCTTGGGTACATCCAGGGTATCATCCGTTAATAACCGAGAACCGCGAAACCATGCTGTACTGTATTGTGCTGTACTGTAATGTATTGTGCCATACTGTGCTATACTGTACTGTAATGTGCTATACTGCACTGTACTATGTTATACTGTACTATACTGTATTGTGCTGTCCTGTACTATACTGTACAGTACTGTGCTTTACTGTACAGTACTGTGCTATACTGTACAGTGCTGTAGTGTTCTGCACATTACAGTACAGGCATGTTCTTAGTGCATTCTTTTTATGGGTATTGTTAGTGTAGTGTAACAATACCTATACAAACATCATGTGGATGCTCTGTTTGTCTGTGTTATCTTATTAAGGCATCAACCACATGTACAAGAGCAGCATAACCCCCATGGGTAGTGGTACAAAGAGGAAACATCATAAATTATCATCTAAGTTTTAGGGTCATTTTCCACTCTTGCATGAGTTAGGCTTCACAAATACCTGATGACAGCTTTCCACGCCTGCACCCTGCATTGCTAGTCTTCTCTCTGGGATAATTTCTCACAACCATCTCCCCATATCATTCTCGCCTCCGCTGGCTCTCTCCCTCCACATTTAGGCTCGTGCCTCTCTTGACCCAGTTGGTTTTCTCCATTCTCTCCACATACCCTAACCACCTCAGTTTACCTCACCAATACTCTCAACATCCAGTTGCCTGCTTAGCTCTTAACATGGTTTCCTATCCCTCAACATCATAGCACCGACTATATACAGAGACAGTGAAGTAAATCCTTTAAGCGAGATATTAGTGACTAGTAAAGATGTTAATAAACAAATACACCTGTAGATAAACTAAAACCTAATAAGTCACCAGGTCCTGATGAGATATTTTGCCAGAGAATTAAAGGAATGTAAGGAAGAGCTTAGTATGCCCTTGGCAGACTAGTTTATCATGTCATTAAAAACGGGTGAAGTACCAGAATCCTGGAGGATAACGAATGTGATACAGATTTTCAAGAAGGGAGATAGATCACTATTCTCTAACTACCGTCCAATCAGTTTAACATCTATTATAGACAAATTGATGGAAGCAATAATTTCAAACTCAATTTTAAATTACCCAGAGAAGCACAAATTAATCACTGATTCCCAGCAATGGCTTCACAAGTGGGCGTTCATGTCTGACTAATCTCTTAACATTCTTTTCAACTGTTTTTGAATCGGTGAACGACGGACATGATTATAATGTAGTATACCTCGACTTTAGCAAAGCCTTCAGCAGAGTCCCCCCCACAAAAGATTAATAAGTAAAGTGGAGGCTCATGGAATTGGAGGAGATATTCTAAAATGGATTAGGGCGTGGTTACAGGACAGGAAACAGACGATTTCCACTCTATCTCTCCTACTCCTGCTCCTCCTACTGAACCTATGCACTTTCCTATAATCTCCACTCACAGGGTTGTTGGTGTGTTATCCAGGTTGGATGTGAGTAAGGCGCATGGACCAGACGGAATACCCCATCGTGTTCTGAGGGAGTGTGCTGAAGCTCTGGCCCCTGTGCTTGCTTGTCTCTTTCACCTCTGCCTCAAAACTCAAACTTTTCCTTCTTCCTGGAAGCATGCCTTGGTTCAGCCCATCCCGAAGAAGGGTGACCTTTCTAATCCCTCCAACTATTGCCCCGTTGCCCTAATTTCACCCCCCTCTAAGATTTTCTTAACTATCTTGAGCTCCCATTTTCCCCGTCACCTTGAACGCCATTCTCTTTTGTCGGATCACCAGTATGGCTTTCGCCAGGCGAGATCTACTGGTGATCTGCTCTCCTATTGCACCCATCTATGGTCATCCTCTCTTAGGGATTATGGGGAAACTTTTGTCATGGCCCTCGACATCTGCAAAGCATTTGACAGGTTATGGCACAAGTCTTTTCTTTCTAAACTTCCCTCTTTTGGTTTTTCTTCCCCACTTTGTTTTCTAATCTCTAGCTTCCTTGAGAACCGATCCATGGCAGATGTTGTCGAGGGATCGATCTCTTGCTCTTTCTCTACCAATAGTGGTGTCCCACAGGCTTCTGTTCTTTCACCTACTCTCTTCCTTCTTTTTATTAATGATTTACTTCACACTACAACTAATTCTATCCATTTTTATGCTGATGATTCTACTCTTCACTCTTCTTCACATTTTACCCTTCCTCCTAAATCTCAAACTAGATCTGTTTCTAGAGCTGATATCATTACTTTTATCAATGCGGAACTGTGCAGCATCTCTGAATGGTGAGGTACAAACTTGGTTAAATTCAATAGTAATAAAACTGAGTATTTACTAATTACACTTTCTAAATTAATTGATATCCCACCAATTACATTTCAGGATGCTATCATTCTGCCAAATTCTTATATAAATATGCTAGGCCTCACCATTTCTTCCAATATGTCCTGGAAATCACACATCCTTAATATAGATAAAGCTGCCTCCCGAAAGTTGGGAATGCTGTACAGATGCCGTAGCCACTTCACTCCTGAGCAGTTGCTTCAAGTATATAAAGGATTCATTCGTCCTAACTTGGAGTACTGCTCTCATATCTGGGGTGGCTCTTCTTCTGTCCAACTGTTAGATAGGGTGGAATCAAAGGCATTTCATCTTATTAACTCTCCTCCTTTAGTCGACAATCTCTCTTCCCTTTCTCTTCGCCGCAATGTTGCTTCACTCTCTCTCTTTTACAGGTACTTAAACGGGCAATGTTCAGTGGATTTGGCATCCTGTGTACCGCCAGCAAGGCCGAGGGCTCGTAACACACGTCTTGCTTGCTGTGCCCAACGTTTCTCTGTGGATGTCGGTCACACGAGAATAACCCATTATAGTACCTCCTTCTTTCCTCACACAGCCAAACTGTGGAATGCTCTGCCTTCTTCTATGTTTTCATACTTATACACTCTGTCTCACTTTAAAAAGCTGGTTTTCCAGCATCTTTGTGGTGTAGATTAATACACTATAACCTTTTCCTTTTCTATTTTCAATTTCTTTGTTCTTATTTTTTCGCCCCCCCCAGGCCCCGTTGTGGGTCGTTTGACCTGTGCCCGGTTGGGATAATCCCCGTAAAAAAAAAAAAGGCATCAAATCCGATTGGGGTAATGTCACTAGTGGAGTACCCCAAGGCTCAGTACTTGGACCATTACTAATTATTATATATATATAAATGACAGATATAGGCACAGACAGCAACATAAGTAAATTTGCTGATGACACTAAAATAGGGCGTGTCATTAAATCTGACGAGGACTCGGCAAATCTACAGGAAGATCTAAACACATTTTTCGTTTGGTCTGAAAAATGGAAGATGGAATTTAATGTAAGTAAATGTAAAGTATTTAGCCTAGGAGATGTAAACAGAGAAACCAGATATCAGATGAACAACATTGTTATAGAGAAATCCAACTGTGAGAAAGATATAGAAACAATGATAAATAGGAATCTTAAACCAAGTCAATAATGCATATTTGCTCAAAACAAGGCTAACAAAGTACTTGGGTTCATACAAAGGAGTTTAGTTACAAGACTAGTGAGGTCATCCTTAAACTATATCTTGAGCTTGTGAGAACTCACTTGGATTACGCAGTTCAATTCTGGTCACCGTACTACAGAATGGATATAGAATCCCAAGAAAGAATTCAGAGAAGAATGACAAGACTAATCCTGGGCATAAGGAACCTTGAGTACAGAGACAGGTTAAAGTATCTTAATTTGCATGCCCTCGAGAGACGTAGAGTGAGGGGCAATATGATCTAGGTGTATAAATGGAAGTCAGGGCTAAACAAAGGTACTCAAACTATCCAACCAGGAACGAACTCGAAGCAATGGTTTTAAATCTGACAAATTTAGATTTAGGTGAGAGATAGGTAAACATTGGTTTGGAAATAGAGTAGTGGATGAGTGGAACAAGTTACCAAACATCATCATTAACTCGAACACGCTGGATAGCTTCAAACATAGGTTGGATGAACATATGAGTGTAAACAGGACTGCCTAGTATGGGCCAATAGGCCCACTGCAGTTTCCTCCATTCTTTATGTTCTTATGTACATTACAGGCCTGTCTGAGCTCAGACAAGGGTTCTGTTGCTCAATGCAGGTGAGATTCACGTCTTGGTCCATGGTCTCCAGTAATCAACACCTTAAAAATTGTACAATGCTACAAACTACATCAGACAGTCCCACTAGTTGAAACCATCAATTGGGTGGTAAATAAAGTTCAAACATCCTTATAATAAGGCATTATTTTGTAAAATTTGCCATTTACACCAAAACGGGACTGTGTACCGTACAGTCTCTCCATCAGATTAGCTCCATGATACAGGAAGATAAAGCGAGTACAGTATTGTTAACCAGGCAACACTGGTGGGTCGAGCCAATATTAGTAAGGTATAGAAGCTGACAGCTGCTGGTCATGGTACAGTACACCTACTCCAAGACTTATGGTACACCTCTTGCTTTTGATGGCAACTATTACACAGAGATGACTGTTATGGAGAGGAATTAACTATTAATTTGATTCCTAATTCTACCAATCATAAGTCCAGCCAAGACTACCTGTGAGCTGTGTCATAGAGTTACAAACACTAGTACTGCACTGCATTAATATACACAGTATTTGGCAGCCACACTACATGTTCACCCTGGACATGTACAACGTCCCCATTTACCACAATATTTTCATCAGTGTTGTTATTCCAGCATTGTACTATTGTGTTCAGTATCACTTCACCCTCACAACTTACTGGATGTTCACGCCTCCAGTAATCCAACATGTTGTCGTACCAACACACAGATGAGGGCCACATTTAGTCTTGGGTCCTAACACTGCCAACTGTACAGTACAGTAAGAAGACATTTTTAATAGGGAATTAAGTAAAGTAAGAGCCACAGTTGTCAACACACCATGGAGAGTATTATGAAGGAAAGTCTTGTTGGTGGAAGGAAGTCTGCATCTGAGCCATCCAGAAGGACCTGAGATTTCAGCCCTTTGAGCACCTCTCTTGGCTTCCCTCAGTATGGCTTGTTCAGCTAACCTGTAAAAGGCATAACATTATAAAAATATTTTTTTTAATTATCATTGTGTTTACATTCTTAAATTATTAACTATTCATCTAAAATGGTCTATAGATCCTCATTTACCAAAAAATAAATAAAAAATAAATAAATCCCACTTTGATTTACAAACCAAACCCCAAAAGTTACTGTACAACAATTTAGGTACCGGTAATTATTATAAAATTTTTTTCACTGGTACAAGTGAAAATATGCTAAAACAGTGCATTATTTTTTATAACCAGTACAGTAGCTATGCTTACTCTTTTAATGTGGCCAGTACTGTACAGTAACATTAAAATGTTGACTAAGAACAGTACAGCACTGTACCCTAGAGCCACACTAGCCAGTGATATCCCTGGACTGGGTGATTTTTAGGCTGGGTTGAAGCCATCCACTCATCACAGCTGGCCACAGTCAAAACAAATCTAGTGTTACCATGGATGGAGGTTATGATAAGTTAGGTACCCTGTATACAGAATTGTACTGTACAGTAATTAGGTAGGGATGGTGTACACAAGTTATGTTACAATACAAGTTATTCTCATATTTGTAATTATTATTTTTATTTATTTTTTAATTCGAAGTTGTTCTTTGTTAGTAATACTTTACAGTAAAGCCCCCCCCCCCCAGTCCAGTGTTTCTCAACCTTTTTCACTCCATTCCTCCCATGAGGAACACTCAACATGGCTCCCCTTCAGTTCTCTCCCAAGTCCCACACAAATAATTTTGAAAATAAACTGTTTTGGTTCCCTTCCTTTATTTTAATGTTTACAATCATCAAACAGAATGCATATTTCATTACAGTTCAATAGGATGGATGACATTGTTTCCTTTCAGTCAGTCGACTCATTCGAGGTCGAGTCCCTGATAAAGCATATCTCATGTCAGGGTTTACATGTAACCGGTTTCAGCTTTTATTCTTTATTTGAAGAAGAGTGGAGAAACCAGATTTCACATAAATAGTAGAAAATAGCAAGAGGACTCGAAGTGCAATCTCACTAACGTTTGGATATGACTTGATACATTCAGCACCAGAATACAGTCAGAGATATTTCTTCATAAAGGTCTCTGGCAGCAGATTCGTTCCCGAGATCAAGGAATTCGTCCTGACCATTGTCGGGAACGGCAGCAATATCAAGAGTGGCAGAGAAAGGATTCCTCACCAATTTCCCTTCTTCCTCCTCGAATTCTGGGAAGTACCTTTTGAGTTCACTTTCCAAGGATTTCAAGTGCTGAATTATTTCATTTTTGAGTAATGGGTCGAGTAGATGATCCTCTTCAATCTCGTCAAGAACAGTTGAGATATTCTCAAACATGGCAACATTTCCTGCACTGACTTTCCTTTGCCAGTTCTGGAGTTTGTCAAGAAATGGACGAATACAATCCATGTGGTGAAACATTTCTTTCCTTGCCTTGTAGCTTGAGATTCAGCCTGTTTAGCTGCTCAAATATGTCTGTCAGGTACACAAGACGTGGCTCCCACAACACCTCGTTGAAGTGACTTAGTAGATCATCCTTCCCTTTCATTTCCAGGAACAACTTAAGTTCTCCCCGAAGTTCAAACACTCAATTCACAACATTACCCTTGGAAAGCCATCGCACTTTGGAGTAAAAGAGGAGAGTTTCATGCTCTGAATCCATGCCTCTACAGACATTCTAGAAAAGGAGAGTTCAAATCTCCTGCTTTCACATAGTTGACTCATTTTACCACTGCCTCCAGGATCTTGCAAAGGGCATCAGGGAGGGTTTTTGACGCCAGTGCAAAACGATGGATCATACAATGAACCCCTTTGGCACTCGAAGCTACTTTCTTGACGTGTTTCTGTAAACCTGATTTCGATCCCAGCATTATCGGAGCCCCATCAGTACAGACTCCACAAAAATTTTCCCAGGCGATTCCTTTAGTTGTGAAGAAAGAAGTCAACTTTTCCATCACATCTAAAGCTGTTGTGGTAGTTTCAAGCTATGTACAGAACAGATATTCATCCTTGATGTCACGCAAGAATACATACCTAACAAACACGAGTAGCTGTGCACAAGAACTCACATCCATTGACTCATTCAACTGTATTGCAAACATACCAGTTGGAGATGATTTAATCTCCTGTAACACTTGTTCCATGATATCATCTAACATTTCACTAATTCTGTTTCACAGTGTCGTCTGACAAGGAAATCTGCTGAATCTTACGTTCACTTGCCTGTCCAAGTACCCACTTGACCATCTTTAAAGCACATGGGCCTTCTTCTTTGCTATTTCAATGGAAACCTCATATGATGCCTCAACCACACTTAAGTTCTGTTGTTGGAAGGCACCACTCTCATCCAGTCTGTTTTCCCAAACTCAGTTCATGGCACTTGAAGAAATCAGGGTTTCTCTCCTCATACTGGGGGTGGATTGTCGTCAGATGATGCTTCAGCTTACTAGGCCTCATGGAATCATTCCCCAGCATTTTGAAACAACACACACTGAGGTTTCTCAATGCCATCAGCGAGGAATGATGTAAATCCGTTAATGTATTCATCATTGTACTTCCGCTTCTTAGCAACGCTGGCAGCCATCACAAATCTAATGAAATTAAAAAAGCAATGCCAAACAGACAGAAACAGACGAATGATAAAGACTAAAAATAATATTAAAAAACAAAAATGAGACGATAATCGAAATGGCAAACACAAACATGCATAAAGTACAGTAAAGTCTCAAATAACGACGGTAATGTGTCCTCCAATATTGCAGTGTAAGGTGAATCATCGTATAATGAATCATTAATTACCATTAAAATAAAGCAATAATAATGAGATGCGATCCAAAGTCTGAACCTTTCCATATATGTTGTGTGGTATTTTACCCTCTTTTCCCCCCCAAAAGGAAAATTAATGAAAAATAAAAACCATAGTCTTTAAATAATTTTTATTAATGCACCTTATACAATATAAATCAATAATAATATGGAATCACAAGAGAAGATGGGACGCCATTGTTGTCATCAGTGTTCACACCCGGGACGATGGTTCTGCATCTGAAACTGAAGAAAATAAAATTTGTTGTAGCTGTAGTAAAAATACAGTGAACCCTCACTTTATTCAGTCAATTGAACCCACGGCGGCCCGCGTAAAGCGAGAAACACGTAAAGTGAACAACATAACATATGGGATTAATTGAAATAGAGACCGGGCCGACCCACAAACTCCACTTTTTCAGACAATACCTACGTTGTAGTAAAAATAACTTCTTAATTTTATGATGGTATGCACACAATTAATAATCAAGAGAAATATCAATAATAATATTATGTTTTTTAACACTTACGTTAGTAGAAAAGATGGCTGGGCACATGAGGATGGGGGGTTGGTTCCGAAGCAGAGGGCAGATTATTGGCCCTCACCTGTATCAATTGTATCACTATCCACCACAGAGGCTTGCAGGGCCTCTTTGTCAAACCCCTCAAAGTCCATATAAGTCCACATCCTCACTATCATTATCACTATCACTGACTTGGGCCGGCTGTAGTGGGTGGCGGGTGAAGAACTCGGTAATGTTTTGATGACTGGGCGACCTTGTGCGCACCCTGCCCGCGCCGCTCTCCGCGTAAAAGAGTACACGCACCGCGTAAAGTGAGCATTCCGTGTTCGGCAGGGTACCACGTAAACGTAGAAACGCGTAAAGTGAAACCGCGTAAAGCGGGGTTTCACTGTAACGTAAAAAAAAAATGTTATTTAATGAATGTACAGTAGAAGTAACCACTGATGGTAAAGAAAAAAGTGAGACTGCAGAAGGCCAACTTTCATACGTGCACAATCGTGTAAACAGCGTCATTTTTCTTATGGGCAAAAGATTCATTATTGTTTATTACTGATTGTCTTTTTGATTGAATTAATGTTAATGTGTGCAAAATGAACCATACAATTCATTAATAATATGTAGATTATTAAAACACACACGAGGAGACGAGACGCAATTGTTTTCGTTAATGTTAACACACGTGACTGACTGGTTCTACTATAAAACTGCCAACGTATGTAAGTGCGCGCATGTGAAAACATATCGTCATTACTCTACATAAGAATATGAAAGCAACACTTAATACTGTTCATATATGTTTTAGTTAATGTTTCTGAATTTATAAAAAATTCTACTCACCAATGGCGGTAAAGTTGAAAACATAAGGACAGCCAATGTTGTTGTGCGAGTTTTTACTCGGATGACGAAGTTGACAAGTCATCAGGTTCAACTCTGGCTGAAGCTGTAGCTTTCTATAATGTTGCCATAGCTGTTACTGAACCTATAGTTGCTGAATTTGATGCTGTAGCTGATGTTGATGTAGCTGAAGTAGATGCTGTAGCTGTAGCTGAAGATGCTGATGTTGATGCTGTAGTTGATGTTGATGGTGTAGCCAAAGTTGATGGTTTAGTCCTTTGAATAATAAAATTGTCTGAAGAACCTTGCACAGCTGCCTTAGTATTCTCATTATACATCTTTATGTAGAGGTCATATGCATTTTTCACGTCCGTGTATTTTAATACTACTTCGTTCTGTTAATGGATCCACTTCAGAAAATATGTTCATTCCTTGCTCCATGTGAGCAAATGCTTCTGCCAAACACTTAGTCATACATTTGTGAGATGAGGTAGGGGGTATCTGTTGGTGTGTTTGTGGTCCGGTCGTGTCGTTCAAGTTGTATAAGTTCTTCGTTGGTTAGGTCTTCTTCGTGACTGTTTAACAGCTCCTGAACATTTTCTTCATCAACTTTTTCAAATCCTACAATGTGCTTGGCAAGCTCAACAATATTTCTTTAAGTGTTTGGCATGGTTTCCTGAAAACCTTTGAAGGTTTTTACACATTCCGGCCACAATTTCCTCCACACATCATTCATGTTGTCGTCTGTTACTTCCTTCCATGACTGTCCAATGTTTTTAACAGCCTTTAGAATATGATATCTACGCCAAAATTCTTTTATGGACGGCATTCCAGCAC